TGATAACACTTTCCATGTAAAAAAATTGTTCCTCATCTCCAATCTGAACCGTTCCTGGTGCAACTTGAGGCTCTTTCCTCTTGTCCCATCACCTGTTCCTTGGGAGAAGAGACCGACCCCCCCCGGCTACACCCTCCTTTCAGGGAGTTGGAGAGAGTGAGAAGGTCTTCCCTCAGCCTCCATGTAAAAATTGTTCCTCATCTCCAATCTGAACCGTTCCTGGTGCAACTTGAGGCTCTTTCCTCTTGTCCCATCACCTGTTCCTTGGGAGAAGAGACCGACCCCCCCCGGCTACACCCTCCTTTCAGGGAGTTGGAGAGAGTGAGAAGGTCTTCCCTCAGCCTCCTCTTCTCCGGGCTGAACACCCCCAGCTCCCTCAGCCTCTCCCCATAAGCCTTAATCTCCAGACCCTTTACCACCTTTGTTCACCCCTCTCTGGACCAGGAGTAGAAGACTCGTAGGAATAACCCACTACTTACATGTCAGTTCATTAATTGGGTTTTCAGTTGCTGATCTCCTTTCCCAAGATCATCTTTACGTCCGTGTAAGAGAGCGGTGAAGCTACCTGTGGTCCCGGGGTGGGAGCAGCCGTTGTGTGAGCAGTGACAGATGTTTAATCACACGACAGTCTTCAGTGAAAGGCATTCATCTATTTGCTAAATAGATGTAGTTTCAATGACACTTGAGCACTCCGGTTTCTAGGGAATTTCTTTGTCATTACTGACAAATTTATTATCCTGACCATTATTAATAAAACACAGCTCACACAGCAACAGCTTTTTGAGGGAAAGGATTAATTTATTATTATTTTATTTTGTGCCACAGAAACCCCTCCAGCTCCATGTCCCGAGTTGTCATCTGCTTATTGCCCCACATCCCCACGCCTAATGACCGGAGGGGGTGGAAAAAAGCAGGTCCAGCATCTCTTACCTATGGGGTGGGACAGGAGGGGGCACATTTGGCAGGGATGAACCTCCTGTTGGAAATCATTTGGTTTCCTGCACCTTGCCCAGCTGTAGCTCATTGCTGCCACATACCAGGGCAGAAACGTGCCCCACTTTGGCCTGTCACACAGACACGGGTTGCTGCTTTGGTATCAGCACCAACATGCTGCTCGTTCACATGAGGAAGAAAGGTAGTAATGTTCTTTGTTTCTGAGAGAACAGCAGTTGCAGTGAAATAACTGCCTGGTAAATCACATTTTCACATGACACTGTGCCTGCCTGTTACCTGCTTGGCTTCAGCCTACCTTTTAGGGGGTGTATTGAGATGCACAGCTGCATTCATGTGGGGTTTCCTTGCCTTTTTTCCACGTGTAAGCATCAAGAAATCCCAATTTCTAAGGGCAGTGTGTCTCCCTGCCACCAGGCAGCAGCGGGGAGAGCCCGTGAGCCGGCTCAAACGGAGGGGACTCGGGGTCCTGCAGGAGAGTGTTGAGACAGAAGGATGTGTCGGAGCGGGATGTGTAACGTCACATCAGCTGCCACCCTGGGCCTTGCCCTCCCCACAAAGCGGCTGCCGTTCTGGTGAGCATCAGAGCCGTGGAGCCCGGTGATCACCAGCACTCGTGTGTCACTGATGCCATCGGTGCCATCTGCACAGAGGGAAAGCCATAAACACGGGCTGTGTCGTGGCGCTGAAGCACCACAGTGAATCTCTGCTTCCCTCGCTCTCACACGCAGCCTCAGAGCTCACATTACCCCGAGTGCTTTACTACTCTGCTCAGGCGTTCAGTGACTTAATTGTGTGATGGTATTGATGTAAAATTTAACAGCCAGTGTGTGTATTGACTATAGCTTCATCGGCTGCTGCTAGAACATGCTGTGCTATTGCCCTGCTATTCATTTAGCTGTTTTGGTCCATTTATTAGATATTACAGAGATTTTCCTTTTCTGGACAGAACTGGTAGTGATTTCTGCAGCGGAAACCTAGTGGGAATGACTCTAATCTAGTTTCTGAGGATTTGTTTATTGGGGCAGCACATGCTGGGCTAATTTCAGGGTACGTGTTCCATGGTATCTTTTCTATCCACAAGTGAAGTTTTAATGAGGGGATGTAGTATTCAGCAGCATTTTTTTTTTCCTTTTGTTTTCCACCCAAAAAACCAGCAAAAGCAAATTTGGCTCAGTCAGTATTTATTGGCAAATTAGTGTTCCTAAAGACTTCCTTTTGCTTGTTCTCTTCTAGAGCTTGGAGAAATAAGATTTCATGTAATGCATCTGGGATTGGATTACTAGATTGAATTTTCAAAGTACGCTGGGGATAGCTGAGCCTGTTTAGAAAGCAGCTAAGCCCCTCTAAGTCAGTAAAAATTCAATTCATGATAGTCGATGAGGGATTTTTTCGGTGTTTTTTGGTTTGGGTGGTTTATTTGCTGTTGGATGGTCATGTTTCCTTTGAGGTGTTTTATCAAAGTTTATTAAGCTTTTGGTGGAGGGGATGGTGAGACACAGCCCTTCTCTGAAAAACAGGAGGAAGAAAGCACCCTGGAAGCTGACGTCCCTCGGCCTCCTCGCTTACTGAACACAAACATTAATTCTTATAGGAGCTCTTCTGTAGAGTTTATACGTTGTGACCATTTTGGAAAGCCACAGAAACACGAAGACACTCAATTTATCAAAGTTGAGGTTGTGATTGGTTATTACTTTGCATCTGGTCTTTTGTGTGCTCTAGAGCTCCTGCTCCTCCCCTCCTTCCTTCCCTCCCCCTTCTCTCCTGCTGTGAGTTGAGGTTTTGGTCCTCAAAACCAGGCCAACCACATTATTATAGTGCAGATGGCAATAATCTCTGTGTGTGATTCTGATAACAGACCTCAGGACACAGCAGGGTTTGGGAAATTCCAGCTCTGGTGCAGGGATGGATCTCATCCCAGAAGAATAGTGTCTGAATTTAGATTCTGTTTCTCTCTTAATTTTTTTTTTTCTGGACTTCCTTTTCTGTTTCTTAGGCCAGTGGTACTGGGATGCTGGGTGCTTCTAATTTTTTATGCTTGGAACTGATTTTTTTTTTTGGAAGAGAGCATGGGAGAAGTTAGCATAGTGCTGTGCTGGCCTAATTAAGGAGAGGTCTGGGTGCCCGAGCCTGGGGAGGGAGCTAGGCTAAGCCAGAGGGAAAGAAGGGGGAAGGCTGGCAAATTTCTCAGTGGGTTGAATTTAGTAAGATCATCAAGAATGCAAGAAAGGAGAAAAAAAAAATTGTGAATGAGGTAAAGACTGCCATGGGAGGAAACAATAAAATATTTTGTTGAAACCCTGGATTGTATCTTTTAGAGTCCTGTGCATCCTATAATAGTCCTGAGATGGAGGTTGCAGAAGTGTGGTATGTGAGAGGGCTATATCCTCCCCCCCTTAAATAGAAAATGGGCGAAGAAGCAAAATGCTTTTGCTCTTTTAACAGGAAGAAATAATGGTTTTCTAGGTGAGGTTTAATGCTCTCAGCAAATCTTTGCAGTTTATGTTTTTACATTATAGTCATTTTCTTGAGTCAGACATCCCTGCTGCCTGTTAAGTAAACACAGAAAGCATAGATTATCAGTTAAGAGTATCGACAGCATTTCAAGTGCTATCAGAGAACATTTAATTCAGTTTAATTTTGTGATAAATCTCATGTTTAATCCTCTGGTTGCTCTGTAATCATGTCTCTATTGATCTTTTCTGAATGACTGCATGCAGTTTAATAAACTTCGCCATTAACCCAAGCTTTCTAAAGGGGGAGATTGATTCCAGTATCAAGTCCGATAGAACCAATAAGCACCTGAACATCATTAAATCTGTCCATTATTAAACATTTGCATTAAGATCAAAGTAAAAGTGTAGAGGTGAATTTGCAGCTTATTAGAGGAAGAGTTTGCAGTCGGAAATTCACAGTATGTCAGTCAAAATCAGGAGCAGTTTTCAGCCTGGCTGATTCAAGCTGACACCTCCTTTCATTTCTTATTTCTCAAAACCGTCTTTCATCCTATTGAGCGACCTCCTTCCCTCTTTTCCCAGCCATAATTATATCCTTTAATTTATTCCATCTTTTTCACTCCAGGCATTTGTTTAGTCCAGGGTTTTGAGGTCATTTTTGCCTCCTAATAAAACTGGAGTTTGGGTGTCTTTTTGAAGTGTTGGTTTGGATTTTCTGTCCTGAGCTGCTTTTATAAGGAGCGTTCTAGTTACGTGGGATGCAAAAGATGCCAGGGAGTGGGGGTCAGGTTATAGAATTGAAAAAAAGGGATGACCTTCTCAAATTCCTTCTTCTAAGGCCTATCCCCACTGCTCCTTGCAGGAGCTGGCTCCCGTACCCAACGTGCCAAAGTCTGGCAGTTTGGTGGGATCCGTCGGGGTCTGTAGGAGCGTTGCTTGCGTAGGGGCTTCGTGCCAGCTGGATGGCATTGAGACGGAGCTCCTGAATTCCCTGTGACTGAGAGTGTGCTGGTGGCCTTGGAGGATCCGTGCATCTCCGTGATGTTGGGCAGGTGAATGGTCCCTGCAAATGTGGTGGGTCTGACTCTTGGGACGTATGAGGGAAGAGGGGACTGGCATGGGCTGAGAAGACACTGTCTCTTGTGCAGTTCTGCTGTTTGGTGGTGTGTCCAGGCAGTGCTGCTCTTCCAGAACAGCGGGCAGGGGATGCTCAAGGGCTATGGGCAGCTCAGTGCAGCTGCTTCTTCCCTTTCCCCACTCATCAGTCCTGTGCAGGCATCACAAGTTCTCAAACCCCAGGAGAAAGAAGGGTCTGTTTTGATTTCAAAGGCTGCAACTTGTGTGGGGAGAGTTAGTGGTGGTGGGGAATGATAATAGGAGAGGGCTCCTGGTGAAGCAGAGGCACTGGCCAGGAGAGAGGAGGAGGATGGGGGGAGCTGGTGGTGAGGCAGACAGGAGGAGACTGATCCTCCCGGAGAGGGACAGAGATGGAGAGCTGCTGGAATTGGAATGAAGAGTAGGGAAGAGGAACAGGGCACACAGGGAGTCTGAAGGTGTAGGGGGGAAAAGCATGGAGATGAGGGGGGGCATGAGATGGGGCGAGGGCCAGGGGTGGGCCGTCTGTGGTGGTTTGGCCTCATGAAGCTGAAGGGCCGCAGAAGGTTGGAAGATGAGAGACTGACTTTGCCACTTTATTTTCCAAAATAAATTTAATGAATTGCACATGCCCTGAGATATTTTCTGGCATGTGGCAGTCGGACACTGTTACATTTCATATCCAGAAGATGGCTGCCTTGATCTAGGCCTGACCGGAGGGAGATGTGCGGGTTCATGGAGCGGTTGGCACCACCTTTGCAGTGTCGTCTTTTGCTTTTCCTAAGCCTGTGTGCAGCCCTGGTGTTCCTGTGGTGCCTGAGCCATTTACATCTTCATGTATTTAACATTATGAGGCACGGATGAAATAGTACGCGGTTTTACTTCCATTTTACAGATGAGCTCTGCTGCAGGGAAGGGCTAAAGGCCCAAATTCACAAAGCCATTTATTTCCTTTGGAAAGCCAGTTAATGGGAATTAAATAGTTTTAGGCCCCTGAATGCCCGCTTTGTGGACTGGGGCTTAGCCTTCCTGCTGCAGGTCACAGAGGGAGTCGGTGGAAGATCAGGAATTTCAACATATGTCTCCAACTACCCACATTAATAACTTACCATCTCAGTCCGGCCGGCTCTAATCCTGTGCCTGGCAGGGTACAAGTTGTGATAAGATCAGACAGGAGAGATTTGGATACTGGCACCACCAAGCAGCTTAGAAAACAAATCTTTAATAGCAAAGGTTTCCTTCCAAGTGCAGACTGATTCCTGCTTACGGTTCTAATTCTCTTCAACATATTCCGTAGCTCTCGAGAGATGCATTGCAGAGCTTTATCTGCTTTCTGCTCCAGGCAAGTTTTACAGAGAGACAGCAGTTTGGATGCTTTCTACAGAAGAAATGGTTACGAGTTCAGTGGAGACAGCCGGGTATACGATAAAGTGTGGTTTGAATGTAAGTATTGCTCAAGCGGTATGATTCACAGCTTTTGTAACTCCTCACAAGTTTGCTGGAGGCATTAGCAAAGCTCTTGACTTGAGATGTTCTGTTTTGGAACCGCATCCCCTGACTGTGCATCCCTACCAAGTTAAATTTGCAGCTTCTAGGTGGCTATAAACAAGAAATATTACAGAAACTGGTTTTCCAGCCACTGAATAGCCCTGAACATCAGATGACACTTCAGCTTTAAAAGATCTATCTACAAAGTAGTTTAAAAAAGTTGAATATTTGCAGAGGACATCATATTTTCAGCCACAGCACAACTGTAAAGGAATTTTTCTTTTTCTTTTTCTCAGGTGTGAGAGGTAGCTTTACAGGGTCTGTGCCCCATAATAAAACTGAAGAACTGGTGTGCGAGGTAGCTTTAAAGGGTCTGTGCCCCATAATAAAACTGAAGAAAATAGTCAGCTCTGAGTTTCCCTATTTATTTATTCATCTTCTGTGTCTGTTTAACTGGAGACTCTATTCTAAGTACGGATGGAGGGGAGAAATGGTGTTTTGCCTTGTAGGAGCTGCTGAATACACCTGGTGGGTTTTTTGGGTGATGCCACACAGACTGTGGAGCATCCAACCACTGCCCTAAAGCTGAAACAAAAGCTTTGTTGTGAATTAGCAAAGCGGAGAAAATAAAGACAGAAAACACGTGTGGTGTTTATCCAGTGCATCTGATTCTCTGCATTTGGTACAGCAGCTTATACCTTTGTAGAGTAACAACAAAATGGTTCTGGTATTTATTTCATCTGAGTATGTGAATGAGGACTCTTGAGATAGGAGCAACTTATATCTGCTTTGTAAGTGGTGCGAAGGACAAGGCAATGATAAATCTGGTCTGTTATGCTAAGCTGTGCTTCTGAACTGCAGAGAGGGGGATTTGCCAATGATCAGCACTGTACAAGAATGTAATCCCTCTGGTTTTTTGATCATCAAATTTATCTTCACTGTATCTGTTTCCTAGGGGAAGAATAAGCCAGCAAATGGAAAGGTTACATATTGCTCTATTTCTTAAACTTTTGTTCTTTACTATTTTTTTCAGCCTGAATGCTAGAAGGAGGTTTCTTTTGCAGATGGGGAGTTGAACCGTTGTTTCTTTTTTTCCCTTTAATTGCACAAAGGTTCTGATCCTTTTCCTAATGAAGAATATTACCAAGCTTGCCTAAAGTGATGCAGTTCTCTAGTCCTATCTGAGCTCTCCTTTTCTCTCTTTGTCTCTTTCTCTCCTTATTTTCTAATCACTACTCTTTCATTTTAAAATCTGCCTTCATCAGTCTTTTGTGTGAGGTTGTGTGCCACATGCCAAGAACAGCGGTAGAGTTAAGTGGTTCCCAGAGAAGGAGAAAGAAAATCAAGAGGAATATGAGACAGTGGGAGCTTAGAAGACAGAAAAGCCAGTGTGTTAAGTAGTTTGACTTCCCGACCCACAAGATGGAAAAGAGTTGTTTCAAAATAGATTTGTATTTTGAAAAGCTCAATAATTACAACCTGTTATTACAAGGAGGTTTTTGGTTTGGTTAAAAAATCTGCAGGTTGGAACATTTACCATCTGGCAAAATCCCCGAGTAGTTCTTCTGATTCTGTCCTTTTCCTTGCTTATTTCTGTATTTTCTGTCCAAAGAGCCGGGTTTGTCCTGCTGCTGGCATGTATAGAGGGATGGCTCTGGTTTCCTGGCGTGTCTGTATGGCTTCACTTGTGAACACAGAACTAAATGATGTGGATGGTTCGGTCTCTCCCAAATAGTGCAGTTCCCCGGTTGTTTTTCTGTGTGTTGTCTCAAGGTGGTTTCTTTGTCTTGACTCCTGGAGGGCAGATTTTCTGGCCTCATCTAGAGGCAGCAAAGCCTCTTCTGTGCTGTCCCCACTCAGTTCCTGTCTCTGGCTGTGATGTTTTAGTGAGCATCATGAGACCTTGAGAACACATCGGACTTTCCTGGTGCTGTACCATCTTTCCACAAGCCAGGGAATACAGAGGTGCTTCTGATTTGATTTACAAACCGTAATACATTTTTCATGAATGCTGAGTGCTGTGCTAATGAATGGTGCCAGTGTGAGAGCCTGGAGGCTGAAGTCATCTGTTTAGCCCCAGCGCAGGAATAGCAGGGATGAGAGTCGTCTAAGCCCACATCCATTTGCTCTAACCCTACCAATAAGGGGGGGAGGGATACCCTTTAAATGTAAGATTTATTGGCCCACTAACTCCTCAGCCTCAGTCCAGGGGCTGCCAACGAAAGAGCCATTTGAATTATTCAGCGAACACCGTATGTATCTGGAGAATGAGCAGCCCACAGGCTTCTTCCTGCCAAAGGCTCCACTGGAGGGGAAATAGGATTTCATTGCATAAGTCTCCTGGTGAAGTTGGCAGGACGTTGGGCAAAAATAAAGGACTGATGCTTTTGGACATAGAATAAACCAGGTTAAAAGGGGACATGTTCTTTATTTGAAAAACGTGTTGTTTAAGAAGGCTATGTAATTTGGTCCTGAGACAGCATGTGCATTTGGGTCAGTATATGCAGATTTTGTATGACTACATCTACAGACATGACAAATTTTTATTTTTGGGAGAAAGTTTGAAATTTAAAATACTGCTTCCATTCCAGATTGGAACAAACAAGTGCAAATTAGAAGGCTATGTGAGAGAAAAAAATTCCAGAAGTTTCAGCGTAGAACTGAAACGTTGCTCAATTATTTTGACAAACTGAAATGATTTGTGTTTCATATTACTCGGTGTGGTACTTGACAACTGTTCAGTTGGATTCTCTCCACCATGAAAATCCCATTTTCCAAGGAGAAAAATTTTTGGCCCTGCTGGGACATGAAGCTGACCCTTGAACTTGGTGCATCTGCCTGAAATGTGCTCAGTCCCAGCCTCTGCCCACAGGAGAATGCGTTTCTGCAGCAGATCAAGACATTGCTGTGCATGGTGTGACTATATAGAATAACAGTGATGTATAAAATATGGGGTCATTACTGTAAATGTGCAACTGGTATGTTTTAGCACGGGAAAAATCCAAATTCATCTTTGTTTTAGGAGCTGTCTTAATGCTGCCCTGTCTCTGCCTAATCCATAATTATAACTGAGAGTGCAGGAGCAATGAACCTCTCTTTGTTGGCACAAAGATTTAAAGTGAGCATCCCTAGAGACTCTTTTTTCTCTCCACACCCCTTTTTATTTCTTTTCATTCCTCAAACAAAGAAAATAAACACTTTGTTGAATGTGGCCGTGCTGCTCGCGGGGTGTATCAAGCACATTTGTTCAAGGCCCAGTGCTGTGAAATCAACCCAGGGCCAGTGGGAATAGATTTTCCTTGGCTGCAGGGCTGCCTTACTGCGTGAGCTCTGGGGGATGTAAGGTCTGTAGAGCGTGTCTGGGATGGAGTGGTGTGTTACAACACGCCTGGTGTGTTGGAAGCACCCGGAGTCATGCCCTGAATCCTGCTGGAGCTGGTGCTTGTGGAGCCGGGATGGGCCAGAAGGGCAGGAACGGCCCTGTTCGCTGGGAGATCTGCCCTGGTGCTTGGCCAAGTTATAGAGGTTGTCAGTGTGTGACAGAAAGGTACTTATCAAAGATGATTTGAAGAGTTGGAAAGACTGTAGGTAGAGGAGTTGGAGGGAACGTGGCAAAGACTATTCCAGATGCCAGTGGAGGACACAGATTTCTTGCTAGGAAAGGCTGGTATTTCAGACAGCGTGGACTCAAAAAAGGCAGAGTCACAGGTGTAATGAAGTCAGATGATTCAGTCAAACCCTCAAGAAAGAGGCAGTCTTGAACTTTGCTAGCAACCTGCGTAAAATCTAGAAAAAATCTATAGAAAAATCATGATGGAACTTCTAGGCCAGCAGAAGCTGGGTGGGGTGAGAGCTTTGGGATCTCTTTCTCGTGGCAGGAGTACCCCGGTTTCTGGGTAAGTCAGTCTGAGCAGAGTCTGAGCAGTCTGTGGGGGCTTTGCCTTCCACAGAACCGGGCAGCCTCAAGAAAAGCAGCTGAGTGTTTCTGTCGTGGGACCTGGCATCGCTCAGCACCTTCTCCACACGAGCTCCAAGAGGAGGTTTTTTCCGAACTGTGGTTGCACAGACTCTGGTAATTGGGCTGACTGTTCTCCACAACTGTACTCTGGTACGGTGTAGTATTTTGTGGGAGAAAACTGAGACGGGAGGATAAGGCTGAGATTACCACATCATGTTTGAAAAAGATTAAATAAATGGATGGGAATCAATTGCTCTGATATTCACCATCAGGTATGGTATCAGTTGTCGCTGGCTTTGATTTCATAGGGCCTCTTCAGCTCAGCAGCTGGCATTGTAGTCTGAGATTGCAGCTACGTGTTTATTTTGTGTAGCAGCTCTAGGTTAGTGAACACTATGAAAAATGTTGTATAGGACTGTCCATTTTGCTTTTCAGCTACCTCGCCACAGCTGTTTTGTAGAATTGGGTGCCTTTGTTGAAATCTTGAGTAATTCCATTCTGCTGTTGTCAAAGTTGGTGTGTAGGAGTAAGTTTTAATCCTTTGTACTCAAATACTTGAATAAAATTTCTTTTTAAATATGCTCTTCATCATGTCAAGGTAAAAACTGGAGTGTATGCTCATATTCAGCAGTCTCTAAACAGAGAAGAATAAGTTTAAGGATTTTGCTAAAATCCCATTGGATGCAGTGAGACTTAGACACACGGGTACATGTAATTAAATGTGAGAAAGTTACTCAGGTGGGCACAGAAACAATACTGTGTAGCCCATGTGAATAATCACAAAGGGACAGTGCAGATCTTGTTTGAAGTATTAAGTGTCATAAATCATTAAGAAATAGAGTGTCTGCATCTGGACACACAGTGTGCTAAAGAAAGGCATGGTCTGTTGGCTGAACTTATGGACAGGGAAGGACATTTATTTTGCCAAGTAAAATAGATGACTTAGTCAAAGTTTAGATGACTTCCTTAGGTCTGGTGTGTTAGCAGAAGTCAGTTTACTTGTGCTGAAGAGTGACTGCTGTCCCACTACAACAATAAACAGTAGAGTAGGCATAGTAGAATAAGCAGAATAGAGTCGACAGCCATACATTCTTCAAGTAATGCCAGGTAGAACACAATTTAGAGTGAATAACCGTGGCTGAGGTGAGGAGCAGTATGGGTGCAGGATCCCTTGTCTCCATTTGCCTGATGGCTGCAGCAGCCAGCTACGGATTTAAGTTCCTCCAAGTTGTTGTGGTTTTTTAATTTATTTGGCCCTAGCGTTTTATGAATTGTGATGCTGCTGTTAATGATATAATGGCCTGCTTCATCTCTTGAAGATCCTGAAAGCCATTTACTCAAATAGGTCCTCCTTACTCTGGAATGGGAGACTCTTCTCCTGGGGAAGCCCTTTCCTACCA